AAATGGCTCATCTTTGGCGTGTTAGGTTCTGAGTAGCAGATGATATAACTTGAAGTGAATAATTTTCAGAACTGAAACCATTTTCTATCCTGTGGTTTTTGGTTCTCCCACACTTATGTGTAAAATTCTCTGAATATAAATTTTGTATTGGGCATGATTAGTGGTCGCAATTCAAACTGCCATCTGTAGAGGGTTGCTATTTCTCCAAGTAATCTGTCTAATTCTCAAAGGAACCGGTTTAACTAGTATTTTCGCGGCGCCGTTCTATATTTTTTTAATGCTGATTCACTTTCGCTAAGACAAAATCGGTGTGGATTGATAGATTGGGCCATTTGCTTTTAAACATATAATATATAATATATGGAAGGTCACAACTCGAAAAGGAGCCGATAACTAGGTGCGAAGATTTTTGGTCGAGTTCTCATTCAAAACCCCTGTTAACTAACATTCACTAACCTCTTCTACGTTTTATATGTTGGGCTTACAAATCTAAAATGATAAACAAAGTTTCATAACCGAATCGCTGTAGATTATTGATCAGAATTTGTAAAAAAAAAAAAAGGTGTCGAAAATTGGCTGCGTTGATTTTGGCAATTACAGTAATGTAAGTTATTGAAAGATCAAGTTGATATGAGATCTCAAAAAGGTCAAAAGAGCTCTTTCTGTGAATTCTTGCCAATGCCAGAACTCTCGTGCTTTCAATAATGAAAGCAAACTATAAATGTCTTTCTGGAATCCGTGGAATAAGTTACTAGTAGTTGATCTTAAGTAGTTGATCTACTAGTAGCTTACTCTCTAATATAATATTGAACTCAAACACGAAACGGAACAGTAGAAACGTCATTAGGAGTCAACTCAATTCAGAAAACATGAAATTGACCATTTGATGCGATGATAATTAAAAAGGCGTTAGTAATCACAAAGTAAAGGCGTCTATGCCGTGACAGTTTTGTCATAGCGTAGTATCAATTCTTTTTTATTCTTTTGATGAACGAAGGTCAACGTAAAGGAAATGATAGGAATTGGCAATCAACCATAGCAACCGTTAGATCACCACGTTTGTCCGCATGAAAAAACCAGATTCCAGCATTCGATTGGGCGAATCCGCTTATGCATGTGCGTGTATATAGTTATTGAGAGTAAAAACTGAACAGGAAGTACAAAAACGTCCTCTAATCATCAAGAGCGATTTGTTGCAACATTATAGATAAACGAAAGCCTAAAAGTTATTCGAATTTTGAATAACCTATGGGAGACTTCCATGTTTGGCCCTTTCGAACCTGTGCATTTCACTTTCACTGATTTATACTGCTCTGCTGTTCAGGTTTGTTGTGGTTAAATCCCTTTATTGATCGGTGTTTCGAACTCGTCTTCATTGACGTAGAAATGATCCGATGCTACTTCTGTGGCTTACTCGACCAAGCACGCGCTTGGCTAATTATAATAGCTCACTGAAACTTTGAAATTAAATGACTTTTGCGGTTCCACTGGCGTTGATGCCCGACTCGGTTACTGAACTGCAAAGAACCAATGAAACATCAATGATCATCGTTAAAGGCACAGTTCACGACAGTTTTGGGTAATCGAAAAATGGAAGATAATATGGAAAATAGTGCGATGACGGCGAAGGAACTGCATGACTAGGTGTTTCTAGAGTGAAAAGAGGCTTCGAAAAATCGTTAAAAAGGGGGCTGGACGAAATGAGACCAGAAGAATGAAGAAGAATGGGGCGTTTGGACGAGCTATACGGTGTGTGTCAGTGCGTGCGTGTGGCTCCTGGCACTTATAGGCAAAGTTATCAGAGCCCTAGTAACAGCAAAAATAGCCCACCTTTTTCAGCCTCTTTGGGTAGAAAATTAAGTTAGGGATCGCAACAGCAAAAAGAATAACAGAAAGCGGAAGATTAGGAGGAAATCATCGCCTCACTACTCGGCGATCAGCTGATTGTATGTTGGTCCTAGAGCGAAGATTTGCAATTTCTATCGTCTCGACACTCGTCTGACGTGACATCGATGGAGGGGCGGGAAGGCCACTCAAGACAGCAACAGGCTTCCACTATGCCCTAACCGTCAAGATTTTGGAAGAGAGGGTCCCTTCTACTACCCATGGACCACTGCGTATTCCTAAGGGAAGAACTCAGCAACCATTTTTATCGTGAATCGTGCCCTTAATTAGACAAGAATCATGCAGCAATTTTAAACCCCACAAAACGGAATAAAAGGTAATAGTTTATTAGTTGCGGCCATGCACTAATTTCGGTTGTCAACTATCTTCCGTTACGCTTTCAATACCTTTGTAGCATCTATCTTACTGTCGTAGGCTAGGATTTCGCATTTGATGTCAACATCCTGTCTTTATGTACCTCTAGTCGGTGCCTCCCCATTGGTGTGAATAAGCTTGCACACCCCTTTCCTTCTCGATGTTCTTTGAAGCTCATGCTATGCGTCCTTCCCGTCTCACGTGTAGGCTTCAAGAAAACCGCGTTGCATAGTCGTTTGATGCAAATACGCTTTATACGAATTTGAACAACAACAACAAAGCTTCCTTAACGGTTGATTCGGACCGAACGAGGTTTACATCATGGCTTTGATCGAGGAGTGCCTGAGTTATAATGGTTTCAAGTGGAGTGGCAGTACGTCTCCCAAAACCGAGGACCTGCTATGGCTCAGCAGTAGCACAGGTCCTAGGCATCTGTTTTATGATCAGAATATAAGAACCAGTTATAACACTCATACCCATTATGTACTGTTGGCATATCTATGACTGCTACAAAATTACATCAGCACGAGATGCAATGAATTATTGTCCATGTGCGACTGTCGATGAATCTCGGCATTCTTCCTTTAGTTTTGNAGTTATAACACTCATACCCATTATGTACTGTTGGCATATCTATGACTGCTACACAATTACATCAGCACGAGATGCAATGAATTATTTGGCATGTTCAACCGACAATCACAGTGTATCAAGTTCACGACAAATGTTCGCATGAATGGAAAGTGTGAAGTGGTATAGAAAGATCAGCCCAACCAAAGAGCATCTTACCTGAAGTCAGTTCTGCTCATTCTTGAGCTGAAAATGTGCAGTTGATCATAATAGATGCGGAACAGCGGCAGGAGTTTGTACCTGTGGATTGAAACGGGAGAAGTCATGTAAACTAGCATCTGAGGTTGCAAAGTTGACTGTTGTGGGGATCAGCACAGAAGAGCAAGCTCACAAATTTATTTTCCGAGAAATCGCAAGAACGTGATGTATCTCTGGCTTTCTCTTGCGCATCGGACAAATACTGCTACGCATTGCATTGACCAATCTCTCAGGAGGCGACAAAAACAAGAACTAATCCGCAATACGCTATGTGACCAGCATGCTCGGTAAACTGCGTCATTTGTCCGTTTAGAAAAGTTGGAGACTGCATTCAGCAAAGGACGATTGTACTATCTTCAGTTTATGGTGAGACGGGAAGGATGTTCGGCACACGCGCCAAAAACATCTAGCAGGAAAGAGGCGTGAAAGTCTACTCATTCCAGTGCTGAAGCACCGACTAGAAACCTGAGAGCAAGATTTCGACATCGATTGCAAAATCCTAGTCTACGAAAATTTGATCAGTGCTACAAAGCAGAGGCATGACGTATCCGCGCTGGAAATCCAAGACTGGACAATCGAGCTGAATGCATAGCTGTAACAAGTATCTCTTAACATTCATTGCCTTCCGATGGCTTCGTGATTACATGATTCTTGTTCGACTATCGTCATGGGGTTTCTTACCTCCCTTCCTTTCGGTAATCAAATGGGACATCAACGCTGGGGAAACCCAAGTAGGTTGGTAGCATGACTGATACAGGCTTTCGAGTTTCCAAGAGTTGGTGCAACTAAGCAAGTGCTTTTGGGTTCTTGCCTGGGTAAGTGACAGACCAGGAGCTTCAACGCTTTTACAGTTCATACTGTTTTCATTCATTTAGTCCAACGTAAAGGCCAACCTGCGCTGCCCAAATGGGATTTTGGGGCTGATGAAAATGCTATCATTATAGCGTTCATCTCGAAGTACGCATAAATTCTCTGGATGGATGGTTGGAAAAGGGAAACGGCTGCCTTCTTTGAGGTTGATTTGATCAACCCAGTACATGTTCTAAGCTTAGTACGTTAGTTACGTCACTGCACAATTTCTCCACCGCGAAGAAACACGTGCAGCCAAATCAAAGCGGAATTTCAGACAGGCTGTCGTAAAAGGGAACATGCTGCTCAAACTCATCATGAACTGGATCAGTTGGCAGGGCACAGCGTTGTTTAAGTGTAATGTCGAATAAAAAAAACTGTTGTTCAATGGAGGAAGAATAGACACAAGAAAAGGCTGGGGTGGTGCTCGTAATGTTCCATCTGCCTACTAGGAGATGAAATGGAGCGAATGGTTGAATGCAGAGACCGAACTCTTGTCGAACTTGCCGTGAGAACGGCATCTTTACTGACATTGACTGAATTGTGCCCAAAGAATTGAACTCGGTAAAGGAGGTGTGCATATGCTTAGCCTCTATGAAGAAGCGGAATTTTGAAACCGAAATGATGCATAAATGATGCATTGACAATCTTCTCTGCCATCTAGGTCACCCAAGGCTTCTGAAGCGGACACTTTCTATGGGTAAATCCCTATAAATGTCGGACTGGTTGGATGCAGACGAGGAGAGGCCAGAAATGATTCATGCAGTGTCAGGGGGTTCTAGGCGGACACCCATCATGGTTATAGAATTGTAGGACGTAATATTTTGGCCCTGTTTTGTTTAAAAGACGTCACTGCTGAAATGTAACACCAGTTTCTCGTCCATGTTATCAACAATTGGATGACAGCCACAACTACGAGAAAATCATAATCTTCATAATCTCTTACGACTTTGCCAAGCCTCAAGAAGCTCGAATTGTGCGGCACTTTTCTGAAGAAAAGTTTGAACTCTGAATTCAACCGCAATATTCGCCCGACCCAGCAGTGTGCGATTTCTGCTGTTATAGTGAACGGAAGGCACGTTTGGTGGCAATCGCTTTGATGACTGTTACCAAAACGGACATACATATACAGCATCTTAAAGGCGCAGTTCACGATAAAGATGTTTCCTAAGTTCTTTTCTAGGAATACCCAGTGGCAACAGGAAGGACGCTGTCGAGTTCCAAAATTCAATAGCTAGGGTATAGTGGGAGCACCGTTACCGGATCGCCCAGACTTCCTGCCTCTCAATCGATGTCACGTCAGACGAGTGTCGAGACAATACAGATTGCAATATTCGTTCTAGGAGCCACACACAATCAGCTGATCGTCGAGTGGTGAGGCGATGTTTCTCTCTTACTCTTTTCTTCTCTCTTGTTCTTTTTGCTGCTGCAATCTCTTATTCAATTTCCTACCCCGAGAGGCTGAAGGAGGTGGGCTATTTTTGTTGTTGCCACGGTTTTATTGTTAACTTATGCTCATGAGTGAATAAATTTTTGCTTACTGTAGTCAGTTATCTGCATCAAGACCCACAGTACGCAATGATCCACATTGTATGGCTCGTCCGTACACCCCACTCTTCTTCATTCTCCTGGTCTCATTCTCGTCCAGCCCCCTTTTTAACGATTTTTCGAAGCCCTTTTCACTTTGGAAGCACCTTTTCACGCAGTTTCTTCGCCGTCATCGCACTATTTCCCAACATACCATTCGTTTTTCGTCATAATCTGGATTACCCGAAATTATCGTGAACTGTGCCTCTAACCGATCTTGTTGAAGAAAAAAGTCCTTGGTGCCCATATGTTACCTGAAAGCTGAGTATGGGTCGCGACAACAGTAAGATTAGAAATTTAGCTCCACCCATCTTTTGCTGCTCATTTTATTCGAAAAAAGTTTGCGCTTTTTCAATCCAATAAGTGAAAAAAGGAATGAGGTGGATGTAACTCTGTTCACCACAAACGCTACATAGACTTTATCATTTTTATTCTACATGAGATCAAAATGGAAGTCAATCAATGACACCCTGAGCAAATCCTTCAGTTGTACAGGCAATAGAGCTAGAAAGGCATAACATTTGAATCAACGGTATGTACCAGTAAAACATACAGGTGGTTCCCATAATGAAACCTCCAACAGAATCTAGGCGAGCTTCTCGCCAATCAATTGTCGAATAAGATTACGATTCAGTTTGAAGTCCGTCTCGAGCACCATTGAACGTTCTGCTAATGAGAGCTGAATGAAAGGGGTCAGAAAAAAATTGATCGTCTGAGAGTTTCCTTATTGTAGTGTATACTACTTTCACATGAAATATAAAATTAAGTTAGAAATCCTTAAATAAGTAATTCAGTGTGGGATTGGCTTCCCCATTTTCTCCTTTAGATGAGTAAAGCTACTCTCATCATCGAGTTTTACTATTTTTTTCGCTATTTTTATTTTATACAGAGAGAAAACAAGTGAGACCCCCCTCTCCCTCTCCTACTTGAGACAACTAATTAAGAATCGTTGCGCAGTTAGCGGATCGGAACTCCTTCCATCTCCCTTCAAGCTCTTAGGATTCATTGGGAGACGACCTTTGTAGACTTGTCCCACCTTTCGTAATAATTATATGCACCTGCCTAAATGTTCGTAATGTTACTGCTTCCTACTTTACCCTTGAATTACTCGTATCTCATTGATTTATGTGCTGCATTATATGGCATGTTGCTGCGAAAATATCATGTTTGATAGACGAACCCATTAATTACCTTTGGTTTTTGTAGTTTAAACAGTGGATGAACTGGTATGGGAATGCCCTGCTTCAGAATATCATTTACCATACGCTGTAAAATTTCACGCGATAGGAAACCGGCATCATCCAATTCGTCTTGAACGAGTGTCCGCGGTGAGCGAGTGACCTGGAATATCAGCTTTTTCATTTGTAATCTGAAATCTACTTCTCGGGTGAGTTTGATAAGAGGCTCTATCGCTGTTTCGAAAATCCTCTGCATCACTACGAGGTATTTCCATTTTTCCAATTTCTCCTCATCATATTGTTGATTTTTTCTCTTATAACTCACTAATCGCGTCACTTTTCCGATTACTTTTGATTTTATATTACTATTCGATCAAGTTTCATGATTGAATGGATTAGCGGTGGAAGACAGCTGTCAGAATAGATCCTCCGAAAATAGAGGTGCAGGTTACCAAGAAATGGCCCTGAACCTAAGTACTGGAATGTAATTAACAGTACTCACCAGCCTGATCGTCTCAAGGTTCACTTTGCCTCGTACTGATTTCGAAGACATTTTCATCTTCATCGATGCATCAATATGGATCTCCATAGCCCCAACGGGTGAATCGCCATTTGGTCCGAGGACAGCTACATCGATTAAGCCGAGCATTCGGAAACGAATTCCACCTGGAACCAGCAACACTTACATAAGAGATTGCCAAATAAGCATCACGACAAAGGGCCCTCGCATGAACCTGTCGGGACCGTTCCNCCGTTCCTACAGCTAAAATCAACAACTCTGGGGAAAACGATCAATACCTCGTTCTGGCTGACGAACGATGAAAGCAGGCGCTTTAATTGTGGAAAATGAAAATGCGACTTCTCGATTTGGAAACTGAAAATGATCTTGAGTGAGTATATGCCAATTGAACGATGAAAACGGTACAAACCAGATCGCGGAGCGTTGGAAAGAGATCGCCCACACAGAACAGCGAACCAGTGCTCATGTCGCAAGTGGTACGCATGACCGGTCCAAGCTGGGGTGTCATGGAATCGATGCGAGTATTGAAAAGGCCAATTCTGCAAAGTACTTATAAGAATCCTGGATCAACCAAAATCGATTACATGCTCAACTTACAGATGTCCGTGATACATTAGCGAATTCGGTACGTAGTCCGAGACGACAAGTTGCAAAAGACTGGGTGATACCGTAGTGGGAAGTGCCAGTGGACGAGGTCCAAATGGTGTCCGTTGCCCAGGTGTTGAGATCTCACCCGAAGTAGACAGTTCGATGCCCCGTACCGACATGAACGGGCCATCAAGCATGGTGTAGTCGAGAATGAGGGAGTTAGCACGACTCTGAAGATGACTTTATGAGGCTGATGAGATTGTCCCAAAAATCATCGCGCATTACAATCCAGGCCCAACCACGACAAGAGCTCCAAGCTGGATTTGCCTTTTGATGACCCTACATATTGGTTTCTCCTTCTCAGAATGTTCTTTGAAGTCATTCTTACATGTCATACACGCATGGTGATGACTTTTTCCATCATCCGTTTAGAACCTGATCGAATCACTCGTTTTTCAATGTCTTGTGACGAGAGCTACATTCACTGGGTGCGTACCCAAAACCGCTTAACAACCTGAACACCTTATGAATCTTTTTATTCTGACAACTTTGCGTATTCGTGATGCTTCTTTGCGGAGATCCTCACCAAAATGTTTCCATCATTCGCCCCAATATCAAATGTCGCTTTTTATTGAATCGTGAGCGGTTTGTGGGTTTGGAATCTTGGGAAAACTCACCAAATTGAAACTTCTCAAAAACGTGGGTGTGTTGACCTGACGTCGCCCTCTAGTGCCTGCTCTAGCTGAAGGTCTGAAATAAAGATATCCATTTAGTTGATAAGGGACTGATCATGAATGTCTTAACCCACTGACTCTCGTTGGAGTGGTAGATCATGTAGACGTGGCACGCTGAAAGACCAGTTTAAACAATGATTACTTGACTTGTTTTCTTTTTCTTTCCGTATTCGGTAGTGTAAAGGATAAGAGCACGCTGCCCGTAGAATACCGGCTCAGGTTTGAGTCCCGTCAAGACAAAATGTATGTTCAAATATCAGCGTTTCTGGGATAACTATAAACATAATCCAGATGTCTTGGTTCTATTTTCTGACTGTGATCAGTTGATTGATTACGATTGGCGGTACAGATCTGTCACAGGGTCACAGGGTGCAAGAACAGAAGAACTGATACCTTGTGAGCACTTGGTTTTGAAAGTTCTACTCCATGATAGGGTGAGTTGAAAGGGCGAATTACCTCTCAGGGAAGCCTTGTAAGGAATAGAAGCAAGATTTGATCAAAAAATGAAAATGTTGCTCTAGCGGCTGTTCCGCAAGGTCCATTTCGGCATGAGTCTTTCTCTTATGGCACAATGTTCTTTTTTTTCTTATTTTTCTCTTTCTTTTTTTATTCTTTCAACGGTATCCATATTCTCTAGCTTTCATTTGGTGGCGAAATACTATTGAAGAGAAAAAAAGTTGAGTCATCTTTACGAGTTCTACCTATCTGTCAGATTTTTTCTAATTTGAAATCATCTCGTTTACCTGACGCTTCTTCTTCTGAGAACCTGTTGTGAAACAAGAATGCTTTTCACAAGGTCGAAGTTGTTCAAGTCTCCAAGGGCTATGCGGGAGGCAAGTAAACCGAATCGTTGATTGATCTGGAAGGGAATCATTGTGAACGTTATTAAGGAAGAAATGTTAGATTTCTTGGTAGTGCTAAAAAGCTAGGCAGCCGCTGGCAGCACTGTAGAACACGCTTCGTGTCCTGCCGCCTGAAAGGCATCGTGAGAGGGGCGAATACGATTGTAAAAGCTTTGGAAGATATGATGAACGAGCAGTTGCGGTATGGAAATGTGGACCTTACGTCACATTGCGACAAAGTATCAAAAAAAAGGGATTTACGAGATGTGTCTTCATAGCCTGCCAGAAAACTCTCTTGCTTGGTAGTTCCGTATACCCAAACTGCTTGATTGTAAAGGTAGTTGAGTATACGAGGCGTATGAGGCAGTATCATCTACATTTGGTAAATGGATCAAGTCATGGACACGTTTTCGACAGGACTTTCTAGTCCGCAAACTTTCTGGAAGTCCCTTAGCGCTAGCTTGAAGGCACAGTCCCCTATAATTCTGAGGCACCTAGTTTAGATAGCTTAAAAATATGAGGCTTTGAAAAAGTACTAAGTGTGTGCATTAATTCCCGCCGCCGACTTGGAAGGGTCGTTGCGCAAACCATGCTAGAGGTTTACCGGTGAAGCCTGTCATATTCTGTCGGGTAGGGTACTACTGAAGGGCACACAGAACAGTTTCCCCAAAATCCTGTTGCTCTCAGACTGATTGGTCATGGAACGTGATGAGCGGTTTTCCCGGAAGGTCCTTCTCCTGCTGTTCGATTTTAAGAAAACTAGCATTGAAGCCCACCGGATGCTTTTATGGAGGACAAGCTTCATCTGAANATTTGGTGGGGGATCAAAAGGGTGAAGTGTACTATGAGCTGCTGAACCCGAACGAAACTGTTACTGCTGACCGCTACGAACACCAACTTGACAGCTTGTAGGATGCTCCCACCTACAAGCGGCCGTTAATCACAAGGAAATGTGACGAGGTGTTGTTCCACCACGAACTTGCCAATCCCCATGTTGCGAAGAAAATCCTTAAAAAATTGCAATTGTTGGATGGGATCAGCTTGTTCAGCCCGCATACTCTCCGGATTTGCTCTTTCCGATTACCACCTATTCCGTCCATGCAAGTCAGTTTGGCAGATATACGCTTCCGGAATGCCGAAAAAGTGCGAAAATGGGTGGGTAACAGGATTGCCTCAGAAGATAAAGACCTTTTCAGACCCGGAGTCAACAAGATAACAGAAAAATGGCAAGAGGTTGTAGCTCACGATGGGCAATACATTGGCTAATGTACGTTTGGTTCTAATTTTGTAATAATTATGTTTTTGCAAAAAACGGCGGAAATTAATGCACACACCTAATAGTAAGAAAAGGGTTTGTACGACATTATGTGTCTGTAACCGTCTGGATGCCTCCAACATAGGCGTGCTATTTGTCGGCTTCCTGACGCTTCATTGTGAATGGTGCAGCTTTGACAAAGTCGTGCAAAGGGGCTCGAAAGTGTGGACAACGAAATCACCAGGTGCTCCTCTAGGAGTCATAGCTGCTCTACTCCAATTCATAGTAATACGATAAGTTAAAAGAGCTATATCTAGCAATTAATTAGTAATACTGCCAAACCAACTCTTTTCTCGACCAAAAATACGAGCCGTGGGCAAATTAGATCCTGGAATACTGCATGTCCATCTCGCGATACTGCATCCTGAAAAACTCGCCTGAGGAGAAGAAATATATTTTTGTTTGAGTTCAGTAGATAGAAATCAGTTGTGACAGGCCACAGTCTCATCTTCGAAGCCATGCCCAACGGCCATCTCACTTAATTGTGCCAGGACCTCCAAAATTGACAATGGAGAGTCCTGAGACATTGTAAGGGTGCTGCGCGCTAGTTCCGACGAAATGGCTGACCTATGCCAATTGAGTAATCTAGCCAGGCTGAGAGCAGAAAGAGAGAATGTTGATATCTTAGCCAAAATTGGTACTCACAGCGAACTTCGCGCCAGTTTCCGGTGTCAACGGATTCTGTACAGCTACCGTAACGGGAATATTCGTTGGCACTTCACAGAACACGACCTGAAATCTCACTCTCATCTATGTTATTGAAGCTTGCACTATCTCACTTGCCCTCTGGTCTATCCCAATTAGGACGCAAAAAAACTTACCTTTAAGCCGGGATTTCCTCGGGTGTTCTTCTTAACTTCCACTCCTACCTCCATCTGAAAACGATTAACACGGATTTCCAAGGGTCCGTTCAGGGGAACGTCATCGACATGTCCTGTTCCAGTAGCGGTCACACTGGAACGTTTCTCGTTTTCTCTGTTTACATTGCCGGTTTTAAAAATCGTACCTTATTGTTGAGTTTTGCAGGCCTACAATAACCAAATTCGGTGGTGCTGTTGAGATGTCAAAAGCTTCGGGAATATCGAACAGACGTAATTGCATTGAGGCCAATCCAGCTGTTGGCAGGGAAGGGAACTGAAGGAGAAATAGAGGAAGTCAGTTCAAATTTTGACTGTCATTTTTGCTTTCAAAGAGTTCATGAGAGGATCACTGCGACCGGTTGTTCCTCACCGGCCAGAGCATTCTGTTGTTCGTGAACATTTCTATTTAAAGTAAGTTTCGTTGACTTTGTATGGACTTGGATAAAGAGGCGATTGGAGAAATAAAAAAGTTATAAAGCGTACATACCGTAGCAGACCTTGCCTCGAACGGCATTCTAGCTGTAGCAACTTCTGGAACAAGCATTCTGGCTACCATGCTAGTCACATACGCTGCACCCACAGGGGTAAGGCGAAGTCGAACTCCCGGACCGACCTGGAAAAGCTAACGTTAATGTTAGAATGGAGGGTGTGAACTGTTTTATGTCTTACTTTCTGGGTTGATTAATTTTTTGTTCACTACGAAATGGCATTGGTCAAAATTACGAGTCGGAAAGCAGCCGCAGTTTCTGAGCATACCTACTTTCAGCCCTCTAGGTCTGCGACAATGTCTTGTGGAGGCAAACTCAAGGTCGTGCCAGTCTAACAGTCACAGGCACAGTCTAATTCATAATTTTTGGCGGTTTGGCTTATCTCAAATTGNACGAAATGGCATTGGTCAAAATTACGAGTCGGAAAGCAGCCGCAGTTTCTGAGCATACCTACTTTCAGCCCTCTAGGTCTGCGATTAATCTACAATGTCTTGAGGAGGCAAACTCAAGGTCGTGCCAGTCTAACAGTCACAGGCACAGTCTAATTCATAATTTTTTGCGGTTTGGCTTATCTCAAATTGTCAACTTTCTGTTTCCCCCTGGGACCTTCCAGTGCCGAGCGGCCCTTTTTTTGATTCCCCGGTACATTCAAGACCCTCTCCAAATGCTCCAACGGGGGTAGATGGGAACCGATGATTACCACATCGAGCAGGTGTAAGAAGTATATGTAAAATATTGGTGTTACCGATACAACGCTTTCGTAGTTTAGAAACTGAACTTACCAAGTTGCTATCATTCTGTATAAGATCATTTATTGAGGAGTTCTGAGCATTGACTGATACTGCGAGAAACAGCTAAAATAGGGCAACGAAATTTTATCAGTTTTTTAATTATTCTTTTCTTATGAGTCGATGGTGCTTACCAGTAGCATGATCTGTAGTGGATGATACATCGCAGAATACCCGTTTTATGAATAGTTTTCTAAAAAGATGCATATGATCGAAATTCACAATGAAAATATTGAGGATATCACGATCGGTCGAGTACGGTAGTGGAATTCAATTCTAATTTTGCTTTTTGAATTTTTTTCCGAGAAAGTAGCGACAAGGCTGATGAAAAAACTCAGATTGGGGAGTCGTGAGAATGATTGCTATTGTCATTAAAAAAATAAATGCCAAAGCGTCAAGATCTTACATTCATTGGGGTGAGTTGACTATATTCAAGAAGAAGTAAGGAGCTGAAGCCAGTCGGCCTTCCCCACCCCGAACTCACTCCCCTTTAAAGGACTGTTCGGTCAGTGTTGAAATTCCTTGGGAGCTGGAGGTGTTGACGTCGGCATAGACTTTCCTTACGGGCAACGTATGTATAAGCATATGGTACACCCAGGGGACAGAAGTTGAATGGCGCAATATTATCCAATGAATGCAGGCAAAGTTTCTCCTTTTATTAATAGCCTGGGAGGATTTTTAGGCCTTTAAGGAGCAGAATTTCCATCAATGTAGTCTACCAAAGTAAAGATGTTTAG